AATAAGTATGATTTTGATTTACATTTGGGTCCCGCGCCAAGATTTATGATGTTCAACTGCTAGACACTGCCGCAGCGCATATTGTTCAAAAAAAAAAATTCAAAATTTTCAACAAATTTCATAATATTTAAAAAATTTCAATTTTTTTTAACAAATTTCAGAATTATCAACAAAGTCGATTTTTAAATGTTTTTCAAACATATCAATTGTTTCAAATATTTTCAAAAATGCCAAAATTCCCAAAAAAAAAAAAAATTGAACGTAATATAATATAGTATAATAAATTTCAGAATTATCAAAAAAGTCGATTTTTAATGGTTTTTCAAACATTTCGAATTTTTAAAATGTTAATAATAAAATGTGTTCATCACTAGTGTTACCATATTACTAATACAAATTATTCAAAATTGTCATATGATATATTTATTTTTACTTAAATGCCATTTTGTACAGTAGCAAATAAGTTTTACATCAATCGCGTGTGAACCCTACACACACTCTTTTTTATTTGCAGGATCATCCTGGTTGCGCACCTGCTCCTCCTGATTTCTCCCTTCACAGAGGCACAACTAAAAAACAGTGATATCACATTTGTAAAGATTCAACCGATTGTACCAGCTGCAGTTCACCACTCGTCCAGGAGGTACGAGAGACTGGACGATGAAGAAGTTGGATCGAAAATTAGCCTGATACAAATATACGGCGATAAACTCAATGATAGTCTTGTGGATCACACCAGTGATGGCAATAAGCAGGTCAGTAGTAATAATAATATAACTACATCATAATAATAGTAATAATCTAAGTAGATCATAAAAAAAGCTCTTTATATTGTTGCAATGTTTTTGGAGTAAAACAAATTGGTTAATATGATTTTCCAAAAATATTTACACGAACTCGACAACATAGTATGTGCAAATCCCGCTATATTTAGTTGAACAACCTCAACTCTAAATAATACATTCCCATTAATCACCAATTTACCACAAATACTCGCCAATTTTATTCAAATTCACCACGATTCCAAATCCAATCACGTACCTGGGCACGTTTACTCGTTTGCTGATAAAATCAGTAACGACATCTAATTTTGTATTCAGGAAACGTCTTCAACTTCAACAACGACGCCTAGAAATTCCACTCAAGAAGAAACTCATCAGCCTAAGATCATCAATTCGACATTGGATGACTCTAGAATTGAAGAGGATCGTGGAAAATTCAGGAGCGATACTACTGTCAAACCTATTATTGTAATTAGTAACGTTCAAAGGAAAACTAAGAAGACTTATCAGCCATCCAAAAGGTAATAATTAGATATAATAAGAATAATATTTGCCATTCTTCTAAAATTATGTCTATATCTGCTTGACAAGGAACATTAGCAACTTAGCAATAAGTGTCTGAAGTTGGAGTATCACAGGAAATTATTTTTTTCATGTTTTGATTTACCATCAGTGTTTTACCAATTTTAAGATACATCAACCTAGAAGGCGTTGGCAACAAAGTTGACGTGAGAAGACACCAAACGGATTCAAGAAGACGCTATAAGTCCAGATGTAGATGTGCAAGGATTTGGAATTGTCCTAAATTGCAGATTTCGGTCCCTAGATGTCAACCAGATTATTACATGTGCTGTTTTTGATTAAGTTAAGTTTAAGGTAAACATTAGATACTTTAGTTTTAATTATTATTTAAGGGAAAAATAAATAAAAATGTGATTGGTATGTAATCATTATCTTTCTGTAGGATAAGTTATAGTCGAATCGGAAAAATCGAAAATCTATATTTTTGCATGTTTTCCCGTCTCAAAGGTTCCTGAACAATTTGGCATACCTTAGAAAAAATAGATGCATGTTTGTTTGTGTGTGTGTGTATGTATGAATACAATTTTTCGTCCAGGATTTGCAGATCGCAGACCAACCGATTTGAATTATTCAAAAAACATTCGATTCGTATTGATGGCGAGCAAGAGCTACTGATTAGTTTTTGGCAAAGACTAGTACAGCCGTTTTGGAGATAGGAAGCAAAAAGTGTACTAAATGGGAACTCATTTTTTGCGAAAACAGAGAAATACATTTGCTTTGTATTGATGAGAAAACATGATGATTAGTTTTTGGCAGAGGCAGGTTCACCCATTCGGGAAATAAAAAGCGAAATGTATCAAAAATGAATCTTTTTGAGAAAACCGGGTTTTTCATATGAATGATTTAAAAAAATTCTAGCGGTTCTGGAGATGTAGAAAAAAATTGCAAAAATTAATATTTGTTAGTTAAGTATGATCTTTACAAATTATTTTCATTGATTTCTATACGAACAAAATGATTGGTTAATAGATAAACAATTAGACAGATTGACAGGTATACTGTTAGAAAAGTAGACAGGTGAGCAGGTTGACAGTTATACAGGTAGCCAGAAAGACATAGATAGACAGATGATTAGGTAGAAAACTTGTAAAGAAGACAAGTAGACAGATAGACTATTATAATGATAGGCAGGTAGTTAGATAGACTGACAGGTGGACAGGTAGGCTGGTAAACGAGTATTAAATAGACAGGGGTACAAGTGGACTGGTAGTAGGTAAATAGGTAGACAGGCAGACAGGTCAAAAAATGAGCAGGTGGTTTACAGATTGAGAAGTAGACAGGTAGACTGATATAGAAATAGACAAGTAATAAAATAATTCAAAGTAGACAGGTCTGTATGTAGGCTGATAGGCTGGTAAATAGTTAGACAGGCAGACAGGTAAAACTATAAACAGCGGTATAAGTAGATAGGTAAGCAGGTTGAAAAGTAGACAAGTGAACTGATATAGAAATAGCCAGGTAATGAAAATATATAAAGTAGACAGATCTGCACGTGGGCAGGTAAATAGGGAGACAGATAGACAGGTTAAAAGATAAACAGGTGGACAAATAAAAAAGTAGACAGATAGATTAATATAGAAAATACAAGTAATGGAAATATATAAAATAGACAAATCTGCATGTGGGCTGTTAGGCAAGTAAATCGGTAGACGGCAGATAAATAAAATGAGAAACAGGGGGACAAGTAAATAGGTAAAGGAGTAGAAAAGTAGACAGGTAGACTCATATAGAAATAGACAGGTAATAAAAATATATTAAGTAGACTGGTCTGCATGGTAGACAGACAGACAAGTAAAAACATGGTGGACAAGTAGATAAGTAGACAGGTAGAAAAAGTAGGCAGATAGACTGATATAGAAATAGACAGGTAATGAAATTATATAAAGTAAACAGGTTTACATGTGGACTGATAGGCAGGTAAATAGATAGACAGACATACAGGTAAAAAAATAAACAGGTGGACAAATAAATAGGTAAACAGGTATAAAAGTAGACTGGTATACTGACATAGAAATAGACAGGTTATGGAAATATATAAAGTAGACAGATCTGCATGTGGGCTGGTGGACAGGTAAATAGACAGGCAGACAGGTAGAAAGATAAACAGGTGGACAAGTAAATAGGTAAACAAGTAGAAAAGTAGACAGGAAGACTGATATAGAAATAGACAGGTAATAAAAATATATTAAGTAGACTGGTCTGCATGGTAGACAGACAGACAAGTAAAAACATGGTGGACAAGTAGATAAGTAGACAGGTAGAAAAAGTAGGCAGATAGACTGATATAGAAATAGACAGGTAATGAAATTATATAAAGTAAACAGGTTTACATGTGGACTGATAGGCAGGTAAATAGATAGACAGACATACAGGTAAAAAAATAAACAGGTGGACAAATAAATAGGTAAACAGGTATAAAAGTAGACTGGTATACTGACATAGAAATAGACAGGTTATGGAAATATATAAAGTAGACAGATCTGCATGTGGGCTGGTGGACAGGTAAATAGACAGGCAGACAGGTAAAAAGATAAACAGGTGGACAAGTAAATAGGTAAACAAGTAGAAAAGTAGACAGGAAGACTGATATAGAAATAAACAGTCATGGAAATATATGAAGTAGACAGTTCTGCATAGTAGACAGACTGGCAGGTAAAAATATAAACAGTTGGACATAAGAATAGGTAAATAGGTAAAAAAATAGACAGATATATATATATATATATAAAATATATACAGAAAATATATAAAATAGACAGGTCTACATGTGGGCTGGTAGGCAGGTAAATAGATAGTAGGGACAAGTAAATAGGTAAACAGGTACAAAAATAGACTGGTAGACTGATTTAGAAATAGGCAGATAATAAAAATAAATCTAAACAGGTAGACAGGTCTAAAGGTCTAAAGGTCGACTGACAAACTATTAGGCTGGTGTACAGGTAGACCGGTAAACAGGTAGACTGGTAAACAGGTAGACAGGCATACTGGTAGACTGGTGGACATGTAGACTGGTAAACTGGTAGACAGGTAGACAGGTAGATAGGTAGGTCATATATGACAAAAACAATTTTTTGATTAAATCTATTATTTACACTTATAGAAAAGTTCATGTAACTATCCACCAGGAAAAAATCCACTTACAACTAGTTTATTATTTACATTTTGCCAGTGGTGTATTTCAAGGTTCAGGTGGTCCTTCATACCCCAAACACATGTAAGTTATATAGATATCGTAAATAAACAACAGTGCTCAAATCGAAAAAAAACTAACAACCAAACATATTCTTTTGGTACAAAATTGACGATGCCAGATTTAAGGTGATGACTTGATACACATCTTTTGCCCTCCACTTTAAAATAGTATTGTCAAAAAATTCTTGTTTTTGAGTTAATGGTAGTGGACCTTTTTACCCGTGGACTCTTTTTAATATGAATCTACCCTGTCACCTAAGCGTTTATAATTTTGAAATATATTTCAACACCTCCCAATTGGTGATTAATATGAATTTTATATCCTTCCTCTCCCAATTTCCGATTTATTTTTAAACCATGGCAATTTGGACGCATGCGCAAATTGTGCAAAACGAACGATGTGATTCAATTCATCTTTAGATCTAGAAATAGATCTTAGAAAATCTCAGAGGCCGCCAGTTGACTTGTTTGTGTATATTTGTGTATTTTTAGTTTTAGTCATTTTAAGTTTAAGCTTTTTAGTTAAAGTGTGCTGGATAAGTTATGGAAGTTACCACGGAAGTATGCAGATATTGGTAAGTTATGTAATTGACAACAAATTTTAATGACATGACCATACGATCTTAAATAAAATGTCAAAAAAAAAATAAAAAAAAGAGATATCTCATAGGAGATAATCTCTTAAATGCATTAACACCCAGCATATTGTCCTAAAAATTTTATATTATTTTGATTGACAATAAAACTATGCAAATAAAAAAAAATTAAAGATTTTTTTAAACAACTTTTAGGGAAAGTAATAAAAGTTGTTTGTTCAAACTTCAAGCTACCAAAGTTGTGAAATCTTTTATAAATAATTGCCTTATTTTTTGTGTATATAATTTACTCCTGTCCAATGGACATAAATAAATTTTATGACTAATATTACAAAATAAGTAGCTGTCTGGAAATGAATTGAATTTTTAATTTAAATAATAATTAAGTTTATCGAAAGTTTTATCATTCAATTACCCTAATAGTTGTTTTATATGACAGGATTTAGAAAAAAAAACATTTTAGATAAATTCTTACTAGAAAGTCAGCAATGTACGAAAATAGTTAAAATTAGAGTAAATAATCAGAATCTGTTAAGAAATATATTAATATTAATTAACAAAAAAGTAGTTATCTATTATTTCAATAAATCAAAATAAGGATATTTTCAAATTTTGTATATTTTGTATAATCAATATGATGATTTCTATAATTAATTAATGTAATTTTCTGATAAATAGAAGGTAGAAAAATTGATTTTTTGGGGCACTTTAGTAAAGTTCCTCAATAAAGTATTATTAATTTATTATTCTCTTATTTATTATAAATTAAATTTCATCGCCAATATGAAGAATATTTTACTTCATATAAAATTAAAATCTACCAAGAATAAATTACTTTATCAAACTAGAACTCTAATTTTTAGGAGTAATTTATTATATTATATTTAACAATGATATATATTATAGAAATTATCTGAATATTATCAAAAATTAAAAACTTTTTTACGTTTCCAAAGTAAAATCATAATGAAAGAACAAAAAAATATTTTTTTGTTTATGCTATACTGATTAAATTTGCTGGATTAGTTTTTTTCAATATGTTTATAAAAAAGAAAGTTTTAATACGTTTTATTTATTCAACTATTAAACTAGTGGTGTATGGCAACGTGCCTTAAGGCAAATTACTGGAACTCTCGTATCGTAATGAAATATTCGATGCATATTAAATGTTTTCAAATGGACCATTATAAATAGTGTAACTTGTATTATTTTCATTATCTTGTTACATCTGTTTTATCTGAATTAACACGTCATTTCATTTCTTTTTCATTTTCAAAAAAAAGTTGCGCCTAATTTACACAAAATTGGAACACTGCTTTTGTATATTCACAATCTAAACGCACTTGCGAAAACATTTGTATCAGGTTGTCACTTAGATTGTGCTTATTTGTATTGGTATTTTTTTTTTAATTTTCAACCCAAAATTACAGTTCTAAAAATATCCCTTACCATCTATTTTGTATCTGCCTCTTGCTCATCTTTTTGATTGCTTCTATCATAAATGTTCTAGTGGATAGGTACCATAATACCTTAGTGCACTGATCGGGAAATCTGGGTAAATTACCCCATATGGGGTAAAAATGGAAGTTTTGGGATGAAAACTATGTATTTTTAATTGATATTTACTGAAGTGTTACGAGTTGTCTATATGACGTGTAATATCAACTTAGACAAAAATATTTTGGATAAATGATCAAAAAAGTTCCCAACCGCTGCCTTAATGTTAGTTGTGTGCGTGTGTCTTGCCACAAGAAGGCAGGTCCAGTTTAAGGTTATATCATGTACTGTAAACTATAGCTATTGTCCTCATATTCCACAAAAGCATTAGAGTAAAAATCAGAAATATTGGTTAGGGAAGATAGCTGAAATGCAAATACAGTCATGTCTGCAAATACTTGTAAATAAAGAACAATTATTAAATACGTTAATTGGTAAAGGTAATCTTGGAGTCATTTACATAGTAAGCTACTGACATCCATAGGTAATTTCAGGTGTTTCAGAAGGAGAGTTAAGTCTAAGTATTGGGGAAGCGATGCTATAATTATACTATCTACATAGCAGTATCGCCCCCAAAGCAGGGAGCCTTTATTTGTCACAATATATATAAATGTTTACACGTTAGACGATTACGCTTTGATATTTCGACACTAAATCAGCTATTTTCAAAAAAAAATCAAAATACAAAAAAAACTAACTTTTTAAAAAAGTCTTTTTTTTTCAAAAATTTCAAAATTTCTCAAAAATCTAATTTTGCAAAAGTTTTTTTTTAACAATTTAATTTTCGGTACGGTAAGTTCCAGCAATTTGCCTTAAGGCACGATGCCATGCACGACTAGTCTTCAATTATTTCCCCAAATTTTGACATCCGATCTTCTGTGTTCTTATCATTGTGGCGCCTTGAATATTCTCGTGAATGATCTTGAATCTCGAATATGTCATCTATTGAGACATAATGTGTGACTTTTGTCTATTTTTAAGCAATGACTAAATTATAGAAAATGTTTTCTTGGTTTTCTTCGTCTGTTTACTACTTTTGCGTCATTTCGAATGCACACGTAATAAAAGATGCAACGACAATTCTGGCATGGGACAAATTGGCATCATTGATTAATTGGACACAAATTTTCGTCGACGATTTCTGGAATATGGATTAACCGATTTGAATGATTCAAAAAACATTCGATTTGTATTGATATGGGGACGTGCTGATTAGTTTTTGGCAAGGGCAGGTCCAGCCGCTTCGTAGATACGAAGCAAAAAGTGCCAAAAATGGTATTTTATTTCTTGAGAGAACCGAGCGTCCGATTTGAATGATTTCGAAAATCATCAAAAAAGTCATTTTTTTTCAAAAATTTAAAAAATCTCAAAAATCTTATTTTTATAAAGTTTTAAAAACAAAATTAAATCTTTTTAAAAAAAATAATTTTTGGTACGACAAGTTCCACCAATTTGCCCCAAGGTACGATGCCATGCACCACTAGTTAATTTCAATTATTTATATATTATACATTTATACATTATATTTATACAACGTCATGTATTTTTGTATATGAACTTGATTCTGTCAACTTGAAACATTTTCTATTTTTGAACGTCGTCCAAAATAACAAAAATTTAGATAATGTGTCACAAAGGTCGTGAAACCTTCATTGAAATTCATTGTTATATCCACGTGTAGCATTCTGAGAAGAAATACTAAAAAATCAAAAGGATAAAAAGGATAAAAATGTTGTCTCTAAAAGTGGACCCATCCAGATAAACTGAAAAACAAAAAAACAGCAAGAAAAAACTTTTGTTCAACAATTGAAAATATGGCCGTTTATCTCCTGATTTAATGCAAGGTGGTTCGTTACACGTTTTTTGCCCTCAACTTTCAAATAGTACCGTAAAAAATGTCATACCTAAATTATATTAGAGTTAATGGCGGTGGAAGTTTTTACCATTTTATTATATAAATAATAACTAATATTTTCATAATATTTCAATATTATTTTCATAATATTTTAATATTTCAGCCGGAGAGATATACCTGACTACAGCATCCTAACCCATGAAGCACATTGCGAACGCGGCCACAGATTAAAAAATGGACAACTATTATCACCAGAACCAAGATCACCAAGTCCTATGATTGAGGAGCCCTCAGAATGCAGTGTTGTGTCCACACCTGGCGATCTCGAAGGTAATAAATGAAACATTAATCTAAAGTCTATATTATATATTTTGTTTTTTTCTCAGTCACCACTTTGGCTTTGGATCAAACTCCTTCTTGGCCGAGCGATGTCCAAGACAAACCCAAACAAACAACAAACTCCAACGTCACTTATATACCAATACAAATGCCAAATAATGGCAAATTTGACTCGTACATATACAATTTAGACAATGGACAAGGTCAACAATATCCTAAATCTGAAACCCCAAACGAGGGTAAAACTAAGTTTGATTTTTCACATGACAACATGGATAATTTTGACAAACCAAAACACGAAAAACAGAATCTTACAAGTCCCTATGGGGTTAAAAACAGTTGGCTCTATCCAAAAAGGCAGTATGAAACCATTCCAGAACAGGATTCAGCTTCTAACAAAAGTGGAAGTTCCATTTTTGATCCAGGGACATCCAAAAGTGAACCGTCTACGAAGGAGAAATTTGTCAACAGTTACGTATGGGACAACATACCTGAAACTGTTCTGAACTTCAAATCAGAAAACAAGGAGGCATCTCCTCCAGTTCCATCAACTTTGAAAAATCTTTTGGACGACATCGAGTCTTTGCCAGACTTGGAAAGTATTAAAAGTGGTACGTCTAATATCAAATCACCTAATGATGAAAAAGATTTGGATTTAGAAAGTTTGAAGAGCGGAGCAACAGCTTCTACGTTAAAACTAGGAGATGACTCACCACGATTTAAGTACAATAATTTTAAAAATCAACAAGACATTGCAAAATCTTCAGATGTAAAAGATCTTGATGTAGAGAGTCTGAAAAGTGGAGCAACTGCTTCGACTTTGAAACTAGGAGACGATTCACCACGATTCAAGTATAATGGTTTTAAATCTCTACAAGACACTACACAATCTCCTGAACCATCTGTGTCAAGTCTAAACTTCGGTCACTTGAAATCCCCGGATTCAGAAAGCGTGAAAAGTGATGCATCAACATCAACATTAAAACTTGGAGATGATGCCACAAAGTTCAACTTCAACCGTCTCAAATCACAAGATGATTTTGAAGCGGATTCTTTGAAAAGTGGACCCTCCACACCTTCGACTGTGTTTGATTTGAGTCTGAACTCTCCGGAAGACCTAAATTTGGATAAAAACTCTGTTAAAAGTTCACCAGTTTTTGATAAAGACTTGGACAGTCCAGGGACGGGCAGGAAATTTGGTGCAGGAAATGATGGTTTTAAATTTGGTCCCGATTTGGGTTTTGGACAAACCAGGACGTCGCCTGGGAACTTGGTGGATGGCACATCTTCAAATGGAGCAGGTAAAAAATAATAAAATAATCATGTACCAATTTCTAGGTATTCTTGAACTTTCACCGGTATGATTAATGGATTAGTGGATAAAATAAGGATAGTGGATAGATTAGTTTTTTGTAATAAAAATTGGATGACTGATTTGTCAATTTTGTAAACATTTAGTTAATCTTCTGCTTTTTTCAGAGGAATGTTTGACTAGAAAAACTCCGGAGAAGGCACCGGGTGTAACTTGTCCAGATTGTCATCGCATGCAAAAAGCAGGTGGTTTGCGTTATCACTTAGACGAGGAATGTCAGTTCAGGAGCAAACCTTGTCCTTTTTGTGATGTACCCTATAGAGCTAGAGATCTTGAAGTAAGTTCAACGGAATATCTTTTATGAATTTTCATAATTTATGGTTTGGTATTTTCAGTGTCACATGGTGGTTTGTGGAACCAGATCAGAGAAGTGTCCAGATTGTGAGGAGATGATCATGATCAAGTACAAACACATTCATTTGGAATCGAATCACGGATTTATAAAACTAGATGACGGTAGTAGTTTTTCTCTTTTATATGCATATTGTTATTAAGTTTATTTTTAAAAATTTTAACGACCAGTCAACTTTTATCTGCATTTAAAAATATTTGGGATGTTTCAGAACCTGACAATACATTCACATGGACACCTCTACCTCGATTACCTTTAAGGCCTCCGGATTTAATAAGGAATATACCTCTTAGTACTAAAGTAAGTCAAAAATATAGAAATAAACACTTAATTTGAAAATAATATCAACTTATTTGAAACAACAACTATATGAGCGCGATATACCAAAGATACGGTTAGTTAGAGTAAAAAGATAAGATCGATCAAAAATTGACTTCACTACAAAACAATGTCTAACTTTTTGTTCGAATTTATGTGTCAATGCTATAACAGAGCTCATAAAATAGCGTTGTCATGGCAACGCTTTCTTATGCTTGTTCTTGGTATTGAGAATTATGAAAATGTATATCTATTTGCCGTGCGATCAGGCGAATTTTACGTATGAATAAAGCAAGGAGTAATGTAATGATAACAGAACTCTAGATGATGCAGTTATGATAAGATTATTTTTTGCCTGCTTTGACTAATTATTAAATTATATTTCAGGATGAAGATGCAAAAGCTTCAATACCTTGTGAATTTTGTGAAGAAGTGTTTCCAGCCTACAGACTCACCGTACACCAGGTACTTATTAACTTTTACCATCCTTTACCATCAAATTTATTCAAATATAATTTTATCACTAGCTCGGTTGTCGCCTGAAACAACAAACAAACGAAAAAACATCAAAATCACAACAAGCTGCACAAAATTCTCCAACCACTACAAAAACAAACAAAACCACGTACGATTACCCTGTCCATTTATCACCACCGCCATCAACAACTAGTTCAACACCAGTTTCTAGGAAAAACAAAGCAAAAGCACCTCAACCACCTCAACCGAAAACAATATACCATCACATACCGACGATAGTGGACGCTTTACCGAAGTATTCACCAGATGCACCAAGTACCTCCAGGGTGACTCCAATTGTTCACCATATACCGACTGTGATTCAACCTGCTCCGAGGATTGGCAGGAGTAATTTGGATGTCAGGCCTCCAACGAGGTATACGACTAGTGTACATCATATACCGACGGTCGTGCAAACCAAGCCTAAAGTTCATTACATACCTACGGTTTTAGAAGGATCGCCAAGGTAAAATTATTATAGATCTCCGATTAAATTCAAGTATACATATTTTTATTACCCAGGTACCATTACGTGCATACCAACGGTGTCGGTCCTAAAGAGCACTACATACCGATTACCCAGGAAACATCAAAGCCTACCAAAAAAGCGACAAAATCCAACAGTGCACCTTTGACGCCAAATGGTTCACCTGGTATCGATGTCATTAGTTTTGGGAACGTGTTGGAAGTTTCTGATAAATTCAAGAACGACTGGAAGAATTTGGAGCAGAAGATTAAAGATAACAGCAAAGACGATTTGCATGTGATTCCTTGTGAGTATTGCAGCAAGATGTTGAGGATTGGAGAAGTGATGAGCCATCAGATGTTGTGCTTCCTGCAGCAGTAGACGATGATATTTGGAAAGGTGATGTTATAAAAAATATTTATATATAATAAATTTAATTTATTTATTATGAATGTGTACATTATTCATTGTTGGATAAAGATTTTGCGACTTATCTGAAGGCAATATACGACTTACAGCAAGTCAAATATCGAACTAGCAATTAAGTGACCGATTCTGCCGCATAACAGACAAATGTTATGGCAACGCCATGCTACGGTATTATGCTACTAAATCATACTTAATACTGTCGAAATGTCATGCTGAGAATTCAGGCGTTTTACACAGAAACTGCAACGTCACTCGCATGTTATGGAGCTGAGTCATAAAAACCCTGTTATCTAAGATCGTTTTTTTGACATTTGTACTGTCTCTAGGCTAGGTTTACTATCTGACAACCTGAGAAAAACCGCCTGACTGCACACCAACCACATGGATTTTCAATATTTAGTATGAAAAGTTCTTCATAACATGACCTTGCCATAACATTTGTCTGTTATGCGCAGAATCGGTCCTTAAAAATAGTCATTTTTTAACATGCTGAAATAAAAGTTGTTGGTGCGTAACCAAAGAGATGACAGTGTCTTATATTATATACGCAAACCACTGTGTCTTTATCTTAGCATAAAGATTTGGCAACTTGCCTCAAGGCAATACGCGACTTGCACCTTGTCAAATATCGAAATACCGCTTACAAAAATCATTTTGTAAATATAATGAATAAACGTAGTTGGTGCGTAACCAAAAAGATGGCACTATCTTATGTTACAGACTCAAACCATTATGTTAATGCGCTACTAAAGAAATGACACTATCTAATATTGTAGGCTCAAACAATTAAGCTGGTGTGTAACTAAATAAGTGACACTATTATATATAATAGATTCAAACCATTGTGTTGATGCGCCACTAAAGAGATGACACTATCTTATATTGTAGACTCCAACCATTAAGTTAATGCGTAACTATAATATATTATAGACTCAAACCATCAAGTTGGTGTGTAAACATCATATATTATAGACTCAAATTATTAACTTGGTGCGTAATCAAAGGGATGACACTATAATATATTAAACACTCACACCATTATATTGGTGCGTAACTAAATTGATGACACTATCAGATATAATAGACTCAAACAATCATGTAGGTGCATAACTAAAGAGATGACTCTATAATATATTAAAGACTCAAGCCGTCATGTTGGAGCGTAACTAATGAGATGACACTATGATTTATTATAGACTCAAACCATTATGTTGGTGCGTAACTAAATATATGACACTATCAAATATTATAGACTCACACCAATATGTTGCTTATTATTGTTGACTCAAACCATGTTGGTGTGAATATGTACATTATTCACTTTTAAATAAAGATTTTGTAACTTGCTTTGAGAAAATAAGCTATTCACGCTTATTCAAATATCAAAAAAGCACTTAAAAATAGTGTTTTTTTTAATTCGTGTTATTTCATAAACACACCAAATAAACATAGTTGGCACATACCCAAATAGATGGCACTGTCTTATATTAAAGACTCAAACTATTATGTTCGTTCGTAACTAAAGAGATGACGCTCTCATATATTAGAGACTTAAACCAATATGTTGTTGCGTTACCAAAGAGATGACACTATCATATATTAAAGACGCACACCATTATGTTGACGCGTAACTGTAGAGATGGCATTATCAATATATTATAGACTCAAACTCTTATGTTGGATCGTAACTAAACATAAAGAGATGACACTACCATATATTAAAGACTCAAACTATGATGTTTGTGCGTAACTAAACAGATGACACTATCAAATATTATAGATTCACACCAGTATATTGGTGCGTAACTAAAGAGATGACACTACAGTATATTAAAGACTCAAACTATTATGTTGGATCGTAACTAAGCGTAAAGAGATGACACTATCATTTATTAAAGACTCAAACTATTCTATTGAAGCGTAACTAAAGAGATGACACTACGATATATTAAAGAATCAAACTATTATGTTGAATCGTACATAAACGTAAAGAGATGACAGTATCATTTATTAAATACTCAAACCATCATGTTGGCGTGTAAATAAAGAGATGACACTAACATATATTAAAAACTCAAACTATTCTATTCAAGCGTAACTGAAGAGACGACACTATCATATATCATAGACTAAAACCATTATCTTGGTGCGTAACTAAGGAGATGACACTATGATTTATTATAGACTCAAACCAATATGACTTGATTGATACAAAAAAATGATAAATCGTTAGTAAACAAATTAATGCATGGCAAATAAATAAATGCGTTTTTTTGTCATTTAATAACTGGCGCTTGGCGTTTATGTATATAATAATATAAAGGATGTTGACACAGCTACCTTGTTGTTATGTATTTTCTCACATTTATTATGCAATCAATATGTGTATTTGTTTTTATGATAAGAAAACATGAGACATCGTCGTCGTGCAGTCTGAAATTTCTACATGAGGCATTACTTAATTAAATACTTTATTAATACTAGTGTTGCATGGCATCGTGCCTTAAGGCAAATTGCTGGGACTTTTTGAACAAACTTACTTAGAAATTTTTTTGAGAATTTTGAGAGTTAAAAAATTGACTTTTTTGTCGAGTTTTTAATATTTTGAAATTTTTTTGAAAGTTTTAATTTTTTTTCTAAAGCTGTTGCGCCGCGTAGCTGTTTTAGGGGCGAAATATTAAAGCGTGTAAACGCCGCGTCGCTGTCTTATAGTTAAACAATATAAATTTTGGTACCGAACCCATAGAAATGTAAAGAAAATTTGTACTTAATATCAAAATTTCTATAAAATATCTGATAATTAACTTCCCGTAGGATAAGTTATAGTAATCGCAAAAGTCGTAAAAGACAATTTTGACATATCTTTACGTTTCAAAGGTTTCTGAACATTTTGGCATATTTAAGAAAAATGGATGTATGTGTGTGTGTATGTATGTTTGGATACAATTTTTTGTCCAAGATTTTGGGCGCACGAATCAACCGATTTGAATGATTCAAAAAACATTTTACTTGTATTGACGAAATGAAGAACTGGTTAAAGTTTTGGAAAAGCAGGTCCAGCGGTTTCGGAGATACGGAGTAAAATGTAAAAAAAATATATTTGGTGGTCTAAAATGATTATTAGATGCATTGATACATCAAATTATCAGTTTTTTAAACGTTAAAATAAGCATTAAAATAAACTCAAAAATATTGAAAAACTTAAGAAAATAAAGAATCTCAGACAAATAATTTCAAGATATTAAAGGGTCTGAGAAAAATCAAGAATATTGAAGAAAAATTAAGAATCTCTAAAAGCGCAAGAACATTCAAATCCCCAATAACCTTCTAAAAATCAAGAAACTTAAAAATCTTCTAAAATTCAAGGATTTAAAGAAACTCACGAATCATCAGAAACTCAAGAATCTTCAAACTCAAGAATAAACTGAATAATCTTAAGAATCCTAAATAATACTCAGAAATTTGAAGAAGCTCAGTTGTCCTCAAAAACAAAAAATTTTAAAAACTCAAGAATTTTAAAAAGCTCAAAAATTTTGAAAAACCCAAGAATCTTGAAAAATCCAAGAATCTTGGAAAACTCAAGAATCTTCAGTGACTTGAGAATCTTTAAAATCTCAAAAAATAAATATCAAGAAAATAAAGAATCTTAGACTCACGAATCTTTAAAAAAACTTAATTGTGTTACATTTTTTGCGGTTCCGTACCAAAATTTTTTATTTTCAAATTTTACTTATACGGTTCAAACAAATTTCAAAATTTTCAGATTTTTTTTTCAAAATTTTTAATAATATGCAAAGTTTTATACTTTGAATATTAGTTTTAAATTTACAATTTAGTTTAAAAATGCATATATTTCAAATGCGTTATTCTACTCGTAAAAAATATATCCTCAGATGGATTTATTCGTAACCTCTTGCTAATGTAAACATTCTCAAGTGCTTTGAGCGATAAGATAGTCACTGTATATTTTATGAACGATAAAATATATAGTGATTATAATTATCTATTTGAAAATGTTTTATTATTCATCATTGATCAATATTTATTGTTTACTGATTTTTTCCTTCGGATATTTAATTCTGGTACGTAAAGTTTCAGCAATTTGTCTTAAGGCACGATGCCATACACCACTAGTTTTCATTATATTTTGAAGAAATCCTTTATCATCTGGCAACCCCTTTAGTAGGATTCGATTCGCCCAAATCTGTCACGGCGGACATTACTTGTCGGCAATTCACCCACAAACATGGAAGGAACAAGTTATTTATTATTTCCACGATTTCTAAGGGATAAAACTGTTTTATTTTTTTATTCTGAATATAAGAAATATTGTGATTTATTTGTTAATTATTTAATAATAAGGTGTTGTGTGTGGTTCTGCGAGTTTAAGAAGAAAATGAAACGAAAACTTGTAGGGTGTAAAAAGGAACTGTCAGGGAATAAAATGGTAAGTAGAGTATAAATATTTTGAAACCGATTTTTTGAGTTTGGTATTTTCAAAATAAATTTAGCAAATAACTAGTGGTGTATGGCATCGTGTCTTAAGGCTTATTGCTGGAAATGTTTAATATAGATTATTATAAATACTGTAACATTGTTTAATATTTATAAGAACTAGTGGTGTATGGCATCGTGCCTTAAGACAGATTGCTGGAACTTCACAGTACCGTAATGAAATATTCGAGAAATTTTAAACGTTTTCAAATATATTATTACAAATACTGTAACTTTTATTATTTTTGCTATCTTGTTATATCTGAGCAAATCAAATGTAAATCATAAATAAATCAATTTATCTCCAGAACATTAACAATCGTCATTTCATATCTAATACAATTTCAAAAAAAATAGTTGTACAATTTGCACAAAATTGAAAAAATGCTCCTGCATAGTCACAGTCTAAACGCATTTGCATAAAATTCTGTGCGACATTTTCACTTATACTGTGCTTAGCTTGGCGGCATTTTCACATTTTTCAGTAGTTTTCACCAAATTGGAAAAGCGCTCCAGTACACAAACAGTCTAAACGCACTTGGGTA